CTGATGAAGAAACAAACTCATCCTAATCTTGAACGGCCTGAGAGTTTTCATTTTTGGAAGAATTTTCATTTTTGGTGAACTATTCCTATGTGAAATGACTGAAAAATAACAATTATTTTATAGTAAATTACTGTTTGTCATGAAACAAACTAGCAATTCACTCTCTTCAAAATCCCAAACATACAACAGCTGTTTAAAATCACACGTTTGTTATGAAATGTATAGCATCCGAGTTATAAAATGGCAAATGCACTTACATTACCTAACCCAACTGACACAGAATACACGATGCATTTAATATATTTCTATTGTGTAATCACTGTCACCACGTAGTTTCCTGTCAAATGAATGCATTAAAATAAATGAAAATAGAGGCAAACAAAAAATTATTAAATTGCAAGTGAAAGACTTTTTCTAAATCAAACTTATTTTTAAATGAAACGTTCATTAAGTGTGGCGAAAAAGTTACTTTGTCATCTTGGTGTCTTGTAAACTCACTCAAATATGTTTAAACATGTTAACATCTGTTTTGAAGGACTTTAGCTGTACTGTTGTAGTTTTAACCCCGTTCTCAGCACCATGTCCTCTTTCTGTGCCTCTCTTCTGACCTATATGGAAAACACTGAGAGAGGATACAATAAGCTATTTCATGTGCTATTGATCTTTTTGTGGAGTTGCCCTTCATATCCAATTGGAAATCTGTCATATCCCATCAGCTATGAGCAATTACTAACAAAAGGATGATGCCGCCGTTCCTCTTGTTATTTGCACGAGTGAAAACATCCCTTCAGGCCAAAGTGAAATGAAAGAATGTTCCTGATTATTTGTTTATTTTTCATCCGTAACTCACATCGCAGAATGAAAGCACCTATATGATGAATGCTTCATAGTGATTTTTATTGTGCTGCGTAATTCCTGTTCTGGAATTACACAACCTTCATATTAAAAGTTTAATCCTGCATGATTTGTATATGGAAAAATCCTAATGAGAACAGCCCAGACCAGTTTATTCCAGAGGCATGACACAATTTATGGATTTATGGATCGACAATGTGAGCTTTGAATGACAGAACAGGACCATAAACAAATAACTATAAATATATGGATATTTTATATTTTATATATGTTTAAAATATATGTTTTGAAATATATAAATATTTATTAAATATAGTTTATGCATTTAAATGTATTTGTGAATTAATATTTTATTTTTGCTCTTGTTTTAATGTATTTTGTCACCATCACCAAGTTATAGAATAATAATAATAATAATTAATGATAGTAATAATAATAAAATATTAATAAAAATTATATATATACTGTGTATATATATATATATATATATTTATATATATAGCTTATTATTATTATTATTATTATTTCTATTCTTTTTTTTTATTT